CTGAAGGAGTTTTATTTAGAAAGAGACACATTCACCCAGCAACAACCTTAAACGAACTTTCTCCGTCTCTCTCGTACGCAGGTATAAGGACCTCCTGGAGCCTCCCAGTCCGGTCAAGCTTCCTCCACTCTGCACCCCAAACCTGGACGGCCCTTTTGCTAAATCTGTGCAGCGGGAGCAATCTTTGCATTCTTTCCACACACTCTTCTGCAGAAGATGCTTCAAATATGACTGTTTCCTCCACCGTAATGACCCCAATTTACACTTATTCATCCCAATGTTGTTGTTGATTGATAGATGCACTCCTGCAGAGCCTGACTATTACTGTGAATTATGTGCCACTAGTTTCCCTCATGTCTAAAAAGATGTCGCACTTTCAGCTCCTTGTTGGGTTGTCCAATAGTTAGATCATGATCTATCATTGAGCCATTCAAATTAAAAAAGTTATACTTAAAAAATATACTTCTATAATATTTAATAATAATTCTATAGTGTGTAGTAGTGACCATATGCTGTAAGAATTCATTTACAGTGAGTCCAGGGTTGTCAAACTTATTTTGGTTTGGGCCACACCATATTTTTTTTACAAAACATTTCCTGAACATGAAGTTTTTGTTGTATTATGTTTATTATTTCATTTTCAAAATTCATCCAGCGGTCTAGATTGAAATCCCAAGTGGGCTGGTTTTGGCCCAAGGGCCATATGTTTGACACCCCGATTGGTCCAATTATTTAAACCATTGTTTATCCTTTTTTAACGATCACCAAATCACACATGTAGTTAAGTCTCTATTAATTCATTTAAAAGCTATATAAACTGTGAGACATGTTGATTTGGTCCCTTTATGGTGTACAATGATGGCACATAAATGGTCGCATCTGGGCCACAAGTTTGGGCTGTGTAGCTGAGCTCGTTGATCGTTGTATTTTTATTAAATACTTGATTTGTTTTTTTAATCCTTTATGCAGCATTTCATGCTACACCCAACGTTTACAAGAGGAAGAGCAAGGAGATCCGGGTGGAGACGGAACCATGCAGTGCTGACTGTTTTCTGTTACAGGTATGCTCCACGTGCAATGCCTTTCCAACCCTGTGTGTCTTGACGTGTATTCATGTACTCCTCTGACTGTCCTCCTCTGAAGAAAGGGGCGAAGGAGTTTGTGGATCAAAACATGTTACGGTCCCAGAGGTCCCGAAGGCGGCGGAGGCCACAGCGCACCACAAGCTCCAGCTGTCCTGGACCATCTGGGTGTGCTGAAGAAGTCAAGGAGGGTGACAGTGACCATGAAACTACCTCTTCTTCAGGTTGGGTTATCAGATCTGGAGATCATTTTAGACTACTATTTTATAAGTCTAGTAAAAAGGCTTGTACCTGTATTGTACTTCAAAGCTTCATACTGTATTAGTATAGAGCAGGCATGAGCAAACTAAGGCTCAGGGGCCGGATGAGGCCCATTCAGCTATTTAATCCTACCTGCCAAATCTTTCTAAATTATATAATTTATCTATATTATCATTATACTTCTGCCTTTTTGCTGCAATACCCACATTTCTCCAATAGATGGCGTTGGAAATGATAAAAGCATTTTAGCATTTTAGCCCTTATGCATGACTTTTACATGTCATTAATCTTAGTTTGCTTGACTGCCCATCTATCTGCTCCTGACCCGGCCCTCCTGTTCAATTTTAGGACAATTGTGGCCCACGAGTCAAAGGTTTTGACCAATGCCAAGATAATTATTTTGTTAAAATTAGCAAATTGATATTTTAATGCCTTATTATATTTATTACAATCCTTCCCTTTACCTGAGCCTGGGACAGGCAACATAAAAATGCCTTGCCCAGAGGCACCTGGACACGCAGCCTAATTTGTGTTCCTTCAAGTAACTGTGTGTTTAAATAGTTGCACCGTTTTAAATAAATTCTCCCAACCTCCCCCTATCTCTCCAGAGTGCTGTGCGCTCTCACTGCAGAAAAGTAAAATTTGGCCCCGGATGATTCCTTTCAAGTCATATCCTGCTCCCTCCTGTGTCTCCCCCTCTGTATCAGCCCTCAGTTGCCAAGAAAAATAAACCAAACCATTGGTTTTTCATGCTTCAGCCCCAATATAAACACTTTGTTCCCTGCTCCAACCCCTGCTGCGATGGGGTTTTTTTTCAATCCCTTCTTTAATTCCTGTTGACATTTTCATGTGAAGAACAGGGGGAGGTAGGGAAATTAGAGCAGTCTCCTCTGGTCCTGAAATTTCTCGCGCCCCCTCCGAGGGCTCAGGTTGTTGTTCAGCACCATCAATGCCTCGTTCAAAGCCCCGGTTGTGTGTTCTGGAAATGGCTCGCGCTCAGCCGGTGACTCAGCAGAGTCTCTCACACATGTTCCAATCATGTGGAGAAAAGAAGCAGATTGTGGAGCAGATTAATGAAGATACTCAGCGCTGAAGCCTGTGGCCGCAGCAATGCAGCATTCACCCTGTTGCCAGGCAACATTTGGCTCGGTGCCAGCTGTGGGTGTGCAAACATCAGCCTCGAATATCCCCAAATCCAAGTGCACTGTATGTGCGTACAGATGAAAGGAAATGGCATGAAGTAAACGACGATGCCCTGTGTGTACAGGTCTGAGGCTACACGTGAATTTTTAAACTTTTTTTTTTTAGATTCTGTACAACACAGACTCCATTATGTTTTACTCACTTTATAATTCAGCAGAAAAATCCATTATTGTTTTAATAAATAGAAATAGAAAACAACTATTAAAATGTAATTGCCAAAAGCTGTCTTAAAGTTAGCGTATATATGGGCTTATGGTATCAAAAATATTACTAATAGATAGTAAATTAGCTTAGCTAGGGCTAAAAGCTGGTGAAGGCGAAGTGACATTAAGTAGAATTAGCCTAAAAAAGGTTGCAAAAATGCCATTGCAACTCTTCTACCTGTTTCAAGATGAAAGCGTCAGTGTGACTCAGTGTATTTCTACCCTGGTCCATGTGCCTCTGATTATTACAAGGATGCTACAAATACGAAGCTAACTTTTGTGCCAGTAATAGTTAGTCAGAATTTCTAAGGCGTGTGTTTGTGTGTGTGTGTGGAGAACAGAGGGGAATTCTCGATGCCAGACTCCGACCAAGCTGCGTACCGGGGAGGATGACGGGGAGCAGCAGGCCTGCTGTGTGGTCCAGTGGAGCGGGGCAGAGGAGTCACTCTTCAGGGTTCTGTATGGCACATATTACAACAACTTCTGCTCCATCGCTCGCCTCATCGGCACCAAGAACTGCAAAGAGGTAACCTCTTCACTCCTTTTCCCAACCTCAGATAAAACGCACACCCTGATAAACTTATTCAACATTAACAACAAATGTGTCCATTTTGGGTATGTGGCTCTTACCTGGACCACGTCCCGAAACAAAGTGGCCTTGAGCAAGGGAAAATATTTTAGCCACATCTATCTTTATTCTCTTTCACTTCACTTACATACTGTCAGTTTTCTCCCACATGTTCTGATACAGATTAGAAGTTTTATTCAAAATGGGTGTCCTCGAAATGTCAAAGAGAATAGGACTTTTCTGTTATTTTTTGTTTATGAAGGGATATCGCTTAGCCGTTAGCCGAACCATCAATGGCTAATACTTGTACACAAAAGGTGATAAGACAAAGTTTGCAGAAACCTTTTCCAAAAGAAGTTTTATCTCTATAATAAAGCTGCAAAATAGTTAAATCAAGTTGTTAAAATGATTAGTTTAAAATATTTTAAATGATTTAAAGACCTGTTGATTTATAAACATAAGTCTCAAATGGCCCGATTACGGTAATTACATAAACAGTTTCCTCAGCCGCCACAGAAATGTCACAGCAGCTCATACTTTTACAGTTAATAATGAAGTCTAGCACGCACAAGGCTAACTATGACACGGAATGGGAAGATTTCACTTTAATGTTAAAGATAAAAAGTGGGAAGTTGTTAAACTCTCTGCCTGTTTCTGCCACAGTTACTGGCTCTGTTTGCCATTAAGACGTTTCAGCTAACACTGAACAATTATGCAACTCAGTGGATAAACTGCAGGAAATGGATGCATTGCTATTTGCTGTTTTATTATCGGCAACACCGGCGTAATAATACGTGCATCCTGTGTTTGTGGTTTTGTGGTGCGGCTAATGAGGGCTAACTACAAAGTCCACGACATGTGGCACAAACAGAGAAAAATGTTTACCAGATGTAACCCTTTCTTGGAAAGCCATGACCCAGTGTGGTTGATGAAATACTGGAGCTGCCTCAACACTGAAACATCGCTATCTGTCACTCGTAAATAAGTGACATAGCTGTCCCTTTGCCAAAGGCTACTAAATATTTCTTCTATCTCTGTGAGATGTGACTTCATTTTTTTGTCTGACAAATGGGGTCACTTACAAATTCAGGAATAACTAGAGAACTAATTCAGCATCAACTTAGAAAAATAAAACACATTTTAATTTATTTGAAATACAGAATTTAAGGGATATATTTCCCCCCAGACTTTTAGTGTGTAAACAGGTGTTGGAGGAGGTAGATGGTAGAACAAGTCTTTGCACAGTCCACGGTCACTCCTCTCTATGCAGATGGTTTGGCTCTTCTTCCTAATCAAGGGAAAATTCCAAAAGCAGCTGCATCATTATATAAGTCTGTGTCCTAGGGAAGTGGCCAAATCCTGGGTTTTGGCAGGGGGAAGGGAAGGGAGGAGGGGGGTGGGGGGTGTTTGAAAACACAAGGGTAGTGTGGCAGAGGATGGGCTGGAAAGCTATTGGGAATATCTTTTGGAATAATTTTGTGGAATTTTCTTTTAACACTGCACTGTTTTCCTGAACTCTCTCTCTCTCTCTCTGTGTGTGTGTTTTTTTTCTTTTAATTCAGGTGTATGAGTTTGCAGTGAAAGAAGCCCTGATCCATCGAGTTCCTTTGGAGGATGGAGGCATTTCACCTCAGAAAAAGAAGCGAAAACACAGGTGGGTTATATTAAAAAATAATATATAAAAAGTATTTCATTTCAAGCTCAGGACAGAGTATCTGTATTATATGGCACTAGTAGTTAGACTAAAAAATAAACTGTGTATTACTGCAATACTGCCTAATATCAGTTGTTTTTTTGTTTTTTTGGCAGGTTATGGGCAAAGATTCAACTCAAGAAAGGTATTGATAACCCAAAAATGACTCCTTGGCTATTTCTCTGCTTCTTCAAATGCACCGACAAACTGTCCGTCTGAGGCCTTGTACTCTGTTTGCTCCAGATAACTCGTCCAATCAGGTGTACAACTACCAGCCATGTGACCACCCAGACCATCCCTGCGATAGCTCCTGCCCATGTGTGATGACCCAGAATTTCTGTGAGAAGTTCTGTCAGTGCGAGCAGGAATGTGAGTTTTCCTTCTGCTTCAGCTCATCGTGTCCAGATTCTTTTTCTCTCTTCGTTTCATACTGACACAGTACTGACCAAATATTCAATATACAGAGATACACTATGTATCAAAACATTCTTTACCAGCACATACAATGCAGTTTGACATACTGCGTGTATATGTTATAGTGAAAAAGTACTCAAGAATTTGAATTCAATGTGAACAAACAAAGGGTTGTGACCCGTAGGTTTAAAAACACTATATTACTCACAAACTAAATATTACTTAAGGCTGGTCAGATACTAGTTTTATTCATATTGGAAGGTGGAAAATACCTTAAACATTTTTTTATAAAGGATTTCAAAAATTCCCAGTTTAAAAGGTGAATCGTCAACACCGATTATAGAAAATCAAAAATACGTTCAAGTGAAAGAATTTGACTGGCGCTCCAGTTGCCTGCTGTGCTTCTTCTGACACTCGGCTCCTAACTATTTAAAAGCACATTTTCCACTGAAAGCCTCAGCTCTCCTCAGTCTCTCTGCCAGGCCACAGCAGAGGAGGGCAGCAGAATATAAAACGATTCTGCAGCATTCTGGCAGCGGTCAGAGGAGGAGCTGTCCTCTGGCAGAGGATAGGTGGGTGTCTGTTTAACACAGAGCCGCATTCACAATGAGGCACTTGATGCAGAGGCAGCGGCAGTGACCCAGAAATGTGCTTTCTAAGATGACCACACGGTGGCCAAGTACATTCCGATTCTGGACATATTATAACAACAGCCAAGAGGATAAGAAGAAATAAACATTTTTTTCCTCTTGTGGTTTAAAAGAAAGAATGGTTTGGCTTGTTTGTTTACAGACGCGAGCACTCGACACCCTCCTCCTCCTCCTCCTTACTCGAATGTTACCTCGCCTTTTCCCGGAGCAGAGGAGTGCTCCGGCCAAACAGGAAGCAGCCCCTGGTTGCACATGTGCAGACTTGGAGTGAAATCAAAGAATCGCGACAGGCTCTGAGCCTGGTCTACCGCACAATATCAAACATCAGAATTAGACAGGCATTTCTAGCTAAACAATACTGGATGATACACACACACGCACAAAAATGTTAAATGGAGATTTAAATGGCATGACTGCAGAGGTGGAGAGCTGTGTCTACAGTCGTGTCTGCGTGAATGCTGCAGAAATGACTTCACTCCTGTCTGATCGTTTCTGGTCATCTGGCTGAAGCTGAGAGCCAAAGACGTGGTCCGTCATTTAAAACATTAATAGTGTTCCCTGGTGGTAAAGATCTGATAAATGATCTAATTTAAAAAATGAATGTACTCTGAAGAAAGAATGTAATAATTAATACTGACTCAGTGGGTGAAATGAGCCGGTTCCTCTGTAATGACGTGGTTTCCTCTGAGGATTGAAAGCAGCTTTTGAGAGGCAATCTCAAAAATTATTTCTGGATACAGAATGGTAGAGATTCTGCTCATTCTGCTCTGGATACAGAATGGTAGAGATTCTGCTAATTTTTTAAAAAAAAAAGTATTTTATTAATATTTAATAAAATAAAAATAATTAATTCCGTTACTGTTATTTTATTTTTTATTCTGTAATGCCTAAGGCCCAGTGGTTACATTGTAACCCTGCAAAATGTACTACAGTATTATAGCCGACAGAGGGCACTGATGAGCATGCTTCTAGAACTGTAGGAAGCATATGCTCTGGAACTGATGTAAACCGTATTTTATATCAAAATCAGAATGAGAATTTGATACTGTTTCTTCAGATACTTAAGATAAATAGATAATAATAATAATAATAATAATAATAGTGGTGTTTGAACATTGCTGAATGTTGGGACTTGTGAGACTTCTGTTTTTATTTATTTATTTTGCTCTTCTAAGTAAAATCCCAGTGTTGCTAGGAGTCCATAACGTCCATAATGACAGGTGTATGATATTTCTTCATATTCTTTTCCTCGATGCTCCACAGGCCAGAACCGCTTCCCAGGCTGCAGATGTAAGACCCAGTGCAACACCAAACAGTGTCCGTGTTACCTGGCAGTGAGGGAGTGTGACCCAGATCTGTGCATGACCTGTGGAGCGGCGGATCACTGGGACAGCAAAATGGTCTCCTGCAAGAACTGCAGCATCCAGAGAGGCCTTAAAAAGGTAGAGCTTTGAGTTACAGAAAGCTTCAGTAGACGCTGTTACTTTATAAAGCTAAAGTATCTGTTTTTAATATTAAAAAAAAGATGTTTATACATAGGTAAATATAACCTACACACTCACTCTCCCTCCTCCTCTTCTTCAGCACCTGCTCCTGGCACCTTCGGATGTTGCTGGATGGGGCACCTTCATTAAAGAGCCTGTTCAGAAGAACGAGTTCATCTCGGAGTACTGTGGAGAGGCAAGAGCAGCAGTTCAGTCAAATTAACGTCTGATTTCACAGCTCCATCTTACACGTGCTTAGACGGTTTGTTATTCACCTGTGTTTCATGTGAGTAGCTCATCTCTCAGGATGAGGCCGACCGACGCGGCAGGATCTACGACAAGTACATGTCGAGCTTCCTTTTCAACCTGAACAATGGCAAGTATCCCCCCACTGTTACCTGTAGTGGCGCGGCGAGCCGGTGTCGACTAAGTGTGTGCACGTGTGTTTCTCAGCAGACTTTGTTGTGGATGCCACACGGAAGGGCAACAAAATCCGCTTCGCCAATCATTCAGTTAATCCCAACTGCTACGCTAAAGGTGAGAATCCCTCTGATATTTGTTGACTGAACTAAAGGTGTCAGGTGAACTGTGTGAGTAAACCTGTGTTTGTAGTTTATACATAAATGAAAATGAATGGGAAATATCTGTTACTTTGCGTTTTCAAATTCCATGAGCACATAAATTAAAAATTGCTGAAAAAGTTTTAAAAAATCTTGATATGTTTATGATATGCTGCACTATACAAGATATGAACTTAAAAAAATAATTTAAAAAAAATTATTATTATCCTCCCGATATTAGCATATTTTGTAATATCTGTAAGAATCATTATTGGTTTTTTTGTCCGATAATGAAACACCCGATAACACAATGCCTGAGTTTTACCAAATGATGTGTGCTCTAAAAATAGTTTAATACCCCAACTGTTAACTCCTTTATAGCACATGAACACAGAATGTTATGAACGATAAAGCCTCAAGTCACTAGATGGCAGCACTGTAGCTCATTTTATTAATCTATATTGCTAATCAGGGGGTTTTATGCTTATTTTGTAATATCTGTAAGAATCATTATTGGTTTTTTTGTCCGATAATGAAACACCCGATAACACAATGCCTGAGTTTTACCAAATGATGTGTGCTCTAAAAATAGTTTAATACCCCAACTGTTAACTCCTTTATAGCACATGAACACAGAATGTTATGAACGATAAAGCCTCAAGTCACTAGATGGCAGCACTGTAGCTCATTTTATTAATCTATATTGCTAATCAGGGGGTTTTATGCTGCGACTCTTACAGTGGTTTGTACAGATAAATAATTAAATATTACCAGGCGCTCAATAGTATTTTAATTCTGTCCTCTAGGTGGAGGAGAAAATAATTGAGAAACACTGTTTTAACCCATCACCTTAGTGAACAGGCAACACTTAACTTCCAACACTGTTCGCTATATCAGTATCAGTTGATATCAGAATCGGAAATTATGTGTTTGGACAATATCGGATATCAGCAAAAAGGTTATATCGGAGATCGCTAACATAATTCGTAGAAGTATTTTTCCACTGTTTTGTTGGATTTGTAAATGTCAGTAATATGTGGTTTGGATGTCTCATAAGTGACTCCATTATCGGTCCATTATCTGGTCTCTCCTGCTTCAGCCAGCACTAGACCACGGCTAGATGTTTTTCATCCTGAGATCAGCTCTGTTTTGTTCACGCTGGTGTTTGACGTTTCAGTGGTGATGGTGAATGGAGACCACCGCATCGGGATCTTTGCCAAACGCGCAATCCTTCAAGGAGAGGAACTTTTCTTCGACTACAGGTAGAATCAAAGACAAGCTGGCCCAACTGTACTGGACGAGTGACTAGAGGAAATAACTGCTCACCTTCCTCCCGCAGATACAGCCAAGCCGACGCCCTAAAGTATGTGGGAATAGAGAGGGAAGTGGACATGACTTAACTTGACCCTCCATGACCCCCGTCCACAGCCCCCGTGCCTGTTCTGCACCGTCACGTCTCGCTGACCAGTTCCCCGTCCCGCACTCTCTGCTGCACTTCCATAAATAGAAAACCATCCTTCCTGCTCTTTGCAGGTGCAGACACTGCAGGGCTTTACTCCACCCTGAGGGGGGGGCGCAGCCTTCCATCTTCTCCCTCGCACACTTACAGAACTGTGTACAGCAGAGCTTATCAAACAGGAAAGATTATTATCACAGACTAGAAACGCTACCGGTCCATATCGCACATTTTATTGTTACGCGTCATCGTGGCTGCGATGTTCGTCCATTTCACAGCAGTTTTTGTTACTGTACCTTTAGAGCAGCTTTTGTTCTGATTCTCAAAGACATAAATATATAAATCGAGCTTTTACTTCCTGCTGTACCTCGACGATTAAGGAGCAGTGGAACGCATGTGCTGTCTCTCGGGAAAAAAAAACAAATTGTTAACAAGTGTTTGCCGCGACATAAGGTTCGGTCACATAGTGCTTCACACAGCTGCTCGGTAGCGGAGTGTGACGTTAAAGCTGCAGTGCATAATATTTCAACATGAATGGAGGTCCGTCTTATCTCAGCCAGAACAGTCTGTCAGTGATGTTTGCGTTCGTTGAGTCAGCGTTAGGCTGCGAAAAATAATATTTAAAAATATTCTTTATATATGAAAATGTTAGGGGGGAAAAGGTGAATCCAGCAAATGACACCGCAATGGTTGATTAGTAAGTCGATGAGTCGGTAAATTCTTGAAAGGCTACAGTTTGAGGACAGCATTTTATGTATACTTTTCTATTTTATTATTTTATTTCACTTAATTTTTAAGTTACATTTTCCTTCCAATCTCACAAAACATTGATGTGAAATTGTAAGAAAAAATTACCTAAAAATAATTAGGTTACATAGCTTTTTAGGTGTCTCCTAATTTAGATGTTGCAGAGCTACCGCCTATAGACGGGAAGTGGTACTACACCCCAAAACAAACGCGACAAATACATTTGTGACGTCAAAAGCTGGTCATTAAAAATTCTGCTTAACGTACTTTGTATGACATAGGTTTCCTTCAAAGACCATCGTAGCTGCATTTCCACCAAAGTTCCTGATTGGACTTGTTACTCAGCTTACAATGGCTGCGACATTATCTTTGGAAAGATACCTTTAACTTCTTGACGCATCCCTATTAGTGGTCTGCCTTGATTTTCCTTGTCCTAAAAATGTCCTAAAATCTTAGTAGTTCTCATATACTGACCCTTATAACAAGCACTCAAATTTCTGACCATGGTTTGGAAAACACAAAGGTTTCAGGTTTTTGTTTTTCGTGCTACTTCCTGTATTGGAAACGCACTCTGTACCTGTTTAGTTTTCCCATGAACCCCTACATCCACTGGGCCTCACAGACAAACACAGCGTGGTGTTATCTGCGTAACATTTGAGTAATTTGACTAAACCTTGTGCACTGCAGTTTTGACGCAAACCAGGGATGGCTCGATGCAACTTTTTCACGTCCAATACCGGTGAGCTGAGTACATGCCGATACCGATACCTTGTTTTCCTCCTCCAGCGTGCCGCAGGCTGATGTTGCTGAGGCGATAGTGTCCGTGTTGATGGCGCGCTGAGTCGAGCAGTTGGGCTCAGGTATTGGACGGGCTATGGCATAGCTGAAATTTGAGAATCGGATTGAACCATCCCTAGAAAAAAACTCTCGGCTTTTAACTTCTACAGTTACTTCTACAGTGACATAATCTATTGTGCATTTATATCGTTGTCCTGCAGAAATAGGTGAGCAGATAAGAAGCCGACTGACTGAATGTAATCAGTAGACGACAGTAAAGCGATCTTGTACTTCTACTTTTTGTTGACTCGGTCACCCGTAGGAGAATATAGTACGTTATGTATACATAAAGCATTTACCATGTTCACATGATCTTTTGAATGTCGCAGATAATGAACAGAGTGAAACGTCTTCCTCGATAAATTGAATTTATCAAGTGCCAAATATTTCCACACACACAGACGTGTGTTACGTTCAAAACAGAGACCAGTCCGAGGTCGCCTTGAAAGGTCACGAGAAAAGAGAAAGCTAAATTATTAGCAATGTTCAAACGTTGAATCCTCCCTTCATGTGAATACTACATAATTTGTCGTGGTTTCATTTTTTTAAAATACAGGACTGTTCATCCATATTTCATTTCAACATGCTTTTCATTACTAAATCATTAAATCTACAATTTAAAATGAGATCCTTCTCGACAGAAACGGTGGAGTTTACTGATATGTATATTGTACGCCTACAAAAAAAATAAATAATTCTTTGACTTTATATATTAAAACATGTAACACGGGTGTTCAGTGCATGGACTTTAAACCACAGTTTGAGGATTTTTCTTTCAAGCTTCTTTTATTAATGTGACAGTTTGGCTTTGCCTTAATTTACACAGTAATGGTCATATACAGTGGAAGCTATTACAAAAGAAGAAAAAGAAAAAAAGAACTGTACCAAACGACGACGACGACAAAAGAAAAAGATCCTAGATGTTAGTGCAGCCACAAAGACAGCTGTGGTTGTTGTTCTAACAGGAGTTGAAGGGTTTAGTTTGACGATGCAGGTTGAAGTTAAACAGCCGTCTCCTCATCAGGTGTCTTATCACTTCAGTTTCATCACTTCTGACTTCTGGTTTTTCTCACCCAGGTTTGAAATGAACGAAGGCGAGGACAGAATGGAGCTGTTAATGCCTCCTTAAATATAAATGTAAATGTAAATGAAAAAAAAATCAAATATAACTGGAGGTCAGGCAGGTATTCAGCAGATACACCACAATTTTTTTAAGAATAACAAAAAAGCCCAAATATAGTTACTGGCAATATACACTCACAAATATATAGGTTAAAAGTAGTTAATAATTTATTCTAATGGCTAGCAAAAGTTTACCTTTGATCCCTTAGCTACTACAATTATTAATTGAATCGATTTTTTTTTTACATTTGTGACAGTCTTTATCCTGCTGAGCTAACCATCCGTAATGGTCATCAGGTGATACCAGTATAAAGTGATTTGCTGGGACCAATACTCGGAAATTATAATATTCAGACACACACACACACACATACTCCAGGGACCAGGTATGAATTATGATGGAAGTTCAACGAAGGAAAACTCAGCAAATACAATTGCAGATATATTTGCGGTTAAGTCACGATTGACCAATAAATAAAAATAAAAAAAAACAATCAGAAATGCAGCCAGCATGTCTATGTGGTACCCTTGTTGGTAAATGGGTTACATGGGTATCAAGCAAGCATGAGGTTAAACTCTGTCTTTTTCCACAGGTCCCACATACAAATTTTGGGTGGCAACCGACAGCGTGACGACATTTTTACACTGCCATTCATCACCTCACGGAACGTTCTTCAAAAATAAAGCATTTCAGTGCCAGCAGAGGCAGATGTGTACATTTTCATACAATGTGACAAACATTCACTGTAAATCCCGCCACAGTCTCATTCTGCATCACTGACAAAAACACATCCACCAGGACGAGTTTTGCTGCCACAGAGGTCAAGTAAGTGTACGATCTGAATCCTGAGCAAGTCTCAAAGAAAGAATCAGGCAGTTCTCGACACATAGATCTGTTGTTTTACGTCAAGAGAGAAAACTAAAACGTCTATGAGTCTGAGTCTGCCTGTGTTTTTTCTTTACAAGCTAACGTGAGTAGTTAGACTTTTAGCAGCAAAGCGTACCCAGCAGGCATGTTTATGTGAGACCCACGTGGGCTACATGGGGTCTCGCTCGCACATGCCTGTGGGTCAGTCGAAGACAACCGAACCGGAGTTCATCAGAGGTCAAGGATTTACATTCAAACGCTTACACCTTTCTGAGATAACGCCTTTTTCCGTGTGAATTTGAAAAACACATATTTATATATTCACATATATATTCTGGTTTGCTCGGTTGCAAATCAAACAGTGGAGGCTGTGATCAAGCTGATTACGTGTAGCTATAAAGTGCGCTCATGCTCTACATATGCATAGCTGACAATGCAAATGTATTACAGTTTTATTTTTCCACACACAGACACACACAACAATACTGGTGTGATAACAGAGAGCTCCACAGATGGCGCTAAGCTCAAAGTCAAACTAATTTCATCTCGTCTTAGATGAAAGTGCTATCACGTCTGGTTCACTGGAAGCAGCTTGATGGACTTTTTGACGTACGACGTTGTGCAAAGAATATTCGAGTGAGTGAGACTAAAGTAAAAGATTAGCATTTGAACACCTGTGTGGTCCTCTGTACAGATGATATTGTGTGGAACGTTCTCCAAAGAGAGACGTGTTCTAACTAAACATTAAAGGATTTTTTTTTAGCCGAACCAAACACCCATTAATGTCTAGCTTAAGGCTAAGTCGGACCCTTACATTATCACCACATAGATCTGTTGTCGTAGGTCTGCATACAGTATACCGCCATTATAACTCACCAAGAAGTCATTCAACACAGCTGGACATGGCTTCGTAGTGAATATAGCCTAGCGACCAAAAACGAAACAAGAAGACGTAAACCAATTCTTAATGTCACTGACTTCAGTTAAAATCTATCCATCCCATCCATTTTCATCCGCTTATCCGTCACCCGGTCGTGGGGGCAGCAGTCGCCACCCAAATCACACTGCACCGTATCAGTTAAAATCTGTAGGAGATAAAAGAACATATGGAGGGTGTAGTTTAACTTTCAAAATAAATCGTTCGTGATAAGCGTTAAAATGCCAAATCATAATTATCTGAGGAAAGATTAGGGTGTCATCAGCGTAGAAAGAAACACGCGATGGCAGTTCAACACTGTAGCCTTTACTTTAGTGACATGTTTTCTACTCACAAACAAAGATTATTCTTCTTCAACACGTTAAACTTAAGGCATTCACACTTGCTTTTTTTTTTTTTTTAACTTTGTTTGCAAGCAGATAACGATCGGTTTAGCTTAGTTTGCTAGTACAAAGTCCTGGTTAGCAGACCTAAAACGTGACGTGTTTGAAGAGTTAAAGCTTCAGACTCAAACTCAAATGGTTTTTGAGTGCATAATTTTACAGCCAGCTTTTTTAGTTATGTTTTTTCATACTTGTCTCGTTGGTTCTAGGACAACTGTTTATTTTGTTGTTTTTTATGTATTTTTTTTAATGTCCCACCTCGGCTTCCTGTGTCTCACCCCTGTATTTGACTGTCTCCATCCAGTGATTGTCTACCTTCTCCACCTGTGTCTCGTTAAGCCCCTCGACGCCATTCGTTACAGGAACCTTCTCTTCATAGAAGTTACATTTGACCAAATATTTTACTCCTGTATGCAGTACTTTGGGCCATTGGAAGATGTCGAACTACCAGTAGTGCCTTGTATCGTGAGTACATCTCCATTCTCATTGATACACGCGTGGTATTTACAAATTGAGCAAGCAATAGGGTTACAAAACAAACAGTGTGAAGACACCAGCTTGAAAATGTTGGTGTTCAAATCCAACCCTGTGTTGAAGCTGCAGCGTCAGAAAAAAGTGGCTCATTTAGAGATTGTCATTTTAAGGTTGTTAAGATGGCAACAAATCTATGCAGTAAAAAGAAGAAACCAATCAAAAGCCCATAAATCAAAACTCAACATCCCATAATCCTTCCACCACAGCATCACACACTAACCCTATCTGATTAAGCTCTCGTGTTTGCCCCAGATCAAGCTCGCTCGGATGAGGCACTTCATAATTCACCTGCGACACAGTGTGAAACTTCTTGGCCTTTCATGCAGTGCACCGCTCCTTTTAAAACCCAGCCGAACCGTAACGTACAGCGCTAAGAATCAGATCCCACTCCACAAGGAAAAGAAAAAAAAAACCTCAAACTCAAATGTAAAGAAAATATATAATATGAAAATTATTCTAGGTAACTGTTGTTTATCCTAAGTCACCCCCTCCCCCCCCGCCTAGACTCCGGTCGGACCACACCCGATGCCCCCCAAAGGTCCACTGCTGCTAGTCACTCCTGAACTCCTCCTCAATTTGCGGTAAGTTCTTCTTCTCTCTCCTCAGGGTTTCGGTCAGAGGTCGCGAGCTGCTCGGAGACTCCAGGTTCTTGGGTTCGTTGGTGTGGTAGCTGCCTTTCTGCTGATAGGCGTAGACGTAGATGCTGTACAGGCCGGCGAAGAGCAGCAGGAGCGCCAGTATGATAATGACTGAAAGATAACAGGTAACGGTACAATATATGATGGCCACAATATCAATCACATTTTTTTTTTGGCTGAAATTTTTAACAAGCACTGTGCTATATTTAGTTTTCTGGGTTAACGTGTTCTTATTGCATACAGTATTTTAGCTATTTCAGCTACAGTGATATAAACTTAAATGTAGGTCATCTTAAGCTAACTTTTTGCCAGTTTTTGTACTACGTTTGGGAGTTTTTAAGCTCAGAATATGTCACCACAGTTTGTGCGTAATTAGCTTACTTATCTAAATATGTGTTTCTGTGGAGTAGCTAACTGCTGTTAGCTAGCACTAAAACAACTTTCCTCATTTCTAAACAGCCCGACTCCCGATTTCTAATATTATTGGCCTACTTTTAGCCGATAGCTGCACATTTGTAGCAACTATTGACACATTTCTGGCTTTCTTTGGTCTATTATATGGCTAGCTTAAGGCTATGGTTAGCCAGGTTTTATTTCTAGTAGTTATATATAGTTATATAAATTCAAGTCCAATGCTGTATGTCATGAAATTTGAGTCAGTTCATAACAATGAGAACACACCTATAGTTGTTGACAGACTACTTTCGTGTTGTATCATAATATTTCTGAAGCTGACAGATCTGTTATGAAGGGCCGTCAATGAATTGAGTAGAAACATTAGTGACGGATGATAATCCTGGGCAGTGCAGACTAAATATAGTTAATCCAGTGGCCGGGAGGTGAGAGCATGTGCTGGGGTTTAATCCTTTGGTGCTTATGGGGAGGACATGTTCTAATATAGGCCATTGTCTGTAAAACTGGGCATTCACACAGGCGCTGTGGGCGTGGCCCTGTGATACATTTGTAAAATCCTACCTGTTATCCAAAACAGACCCAGGTCATCATGGATGTAAATATACTCTGTAAGACATAGATACACAGGTAAGAGAGCGAAGAAGTATCAGTACTGCTTAATTATAGGTCCAGTATTCACTCACCTATGCTTGTAAACCAGGGGTCCACCTCCCACGGTACATAACCCAGGACAGGAGGGAAGGCACCGCATATAGACTCAGAGACATAGCCTTGCGTCGTTACCGGAGGATTCGTTTCATTCGGTCGGAAGAGAGCTTTCAACGGAGCGTAGACGTTGTACCTCACCCCTGAAATGCAGCCTATGAAGCCCGGAGCGTTGTGCTTCTGAATCTCATAGTCCATGTCACCGACCTCTAAAAAAGTCAACAATGGGCATTTATGTGGTAAAACAAATCCAAATATATGTAAATATATACAGTATATATATGCATATATATTCAAATATACATATATTTTCAAATATATACATATATTCAAATATATACATTTATTTTCAAATATATACATATATTTTCAAATATATTACAGTTTTTTTTCCAAATAAAGTAGACAGCATTACCCATCACTCTGCCAATGAACATGGATTTTGGAGAGTCAAACCTTGAATCTTCCACCAGGGTTATTTTATCCACTATGGGTTCCATATAATCCACCTGTAGGGAACACAAGTTATACTTATTTGTGCATTTCACAGAAATGATCTCAGATATTATACCACATGGACCTAATCAATAAAACAAGGAGAACAATCTTGAGCCAAGTCACACAGATTAGATAGTAGATAAATGTAGTAAAGTGTTTTTAATAGTAATATTTTTGTTTGATTACTAATGTCTGATGATTAGTCTTGTGCTTCTTTACAAATATTATTTTTGATATATTTGTTAGGTATATGTTAGCCCAGAAGTTTCACATTTTGCCAATTAGAAATGGTAAAAAAAAAAAAGAGTAGTTGGCATTTGTTATCAGTGTCTTGATGCAATTTTCCACATAAATATACACAAAAACCAACATTTGAATTGAATCTCTGGGCATTATTTTGGCTTGTAGAGGATTGGTCTCTGGTAATATATTTAATTAATATCTCTCTTAGTGTTGACTTGTTTGTTTTCCAACATATTTTTGACACCTTTTTGAAACTTTTCCATCAGTACTTACAGTGCATATAAATCTGTAGTATAACTACAGTACCAAAATGTCATTAAATATGCTATTACCATTACAAAAATTGTTGAAATGTGTAATAATAGCAAAGTACAGGCTAATAGTATCTGATTTATACTGTAGTCCCATCAAGTCTTAACATAGCACAGTGTTCAGTGCTAATTTTAGCCTTGTTTTGTTTACTATTTAGTCGGCATACAACCTCTTAAGCTATGCACTGTATCTAAATATTTATTGTGGTTTTAGTATCCAAAAATGATCACATTTATTATTTGCACAGAGCCGAGAGAAAGCGCACGAACCTGCGTCTTGATGGTTCTGTTGTGTCTGGTTATGTTGATGTAATGAGGGTATCCATCTGCCAGGTTTCGGTGTGTCAGCTGGTACTTGTGTGTTATGAGCCCCAGCTTATACCTCAGCTCAGCGCTGCCTGTGAGGAAACGCACAACAAAACTTCATATTGTCAGCTTGGAGGGTGGGGGGTGATGTAGAGACGGAGAATTATGACCTTCACTTACCATCATTTCTAAGGATGACAGCAATGTAGTCCTGAACAAATGAGCTGATGTACAGCAACACCGCCGGAGTGTGCAGCGTGCTGAAACTGAACTCTATGTCGTCTGCAGTGTCGTTGTAGCCGAGGCTGAAATTATCGTAGTGCGGGTCAATCCAGTTGGCCCACGCCGCTTCTTCTGATATGGGCTTCTTGAGGATGTTGTACCTCAACCACGAGCCAATCTCAAAGTAGGCCCCAATATCTAATAAAACAAAAATATGGTTTGTTAAGGTTAACTATAAGGTTAACTATAGTCAACAGGTTAACTATTACCAAATGTAGGTGCTCAGAGACTGACCTTTATGACAGTAGAACCCATCATAAGCCGTGTTGTTACAGTCGCATGTGTAGGACGCATAGCCCTCGATACACTGTCCACTGTTTCGACACGGTAAAGAAGCATTGAGACACTGTCCTGTACAATTTCTTCTTATTCCCAGCTCCTCGTTGACTTTCCCCTCCAGGTCCAGAGGGACACCGTTCATCCGTAGCCCTCGGAGACACCCCAGGAACGGTTTCTGGGTGAAGTTCCTTGCACCTTTTACAAAAAAAAAAAATTAAATCTGTAATCAGTGTTGTTTTAAATTTAAATAAGACTCTAGCCAAATCAACTTACCGACTAAAAGAGGTTGCGTAAACTTCATTGTGACAAATGTTTGACCCGGGAATCTTTTCACCGTCCAAGGCTGATAGTCAACCTTGATCCGAGCCAGCTTCACATTAAGCTCGACCTGAACGAAATGCCACTCGTTGTCGTTGAGTGGCACAGGTGAATGTAGGGTCACGTTAACGATGCCGTCACCAACCATAAATATAAATAAAAGGTTATGGGTGGCTGGAAAAGAAGAGAGACGTTTTTGGTGAAAAATAGTTTTGGGGAAAAACATCTGTATATGAACATGAAAGTCAATAGATGGCAGCGTTGCATTATTCTATTTTAATAATCAGGGGATTGCATGTAGAATGCTGGTGCCAGCAGCTCATACAGTAACCCATCACCTTAGTGAGCAGGCGGCACCACCACTGTCCCACTGTTCGGTATCACTTGATGTCGGACATCCCTACTAAAAACGGTTCCTTAAACTCACTATTCAGCTCTATTCGAATGAAGTTTTTCAGATGGTCATCAGAGTTTTCTAAGAAGACACCATGATCACGATAGGTTTTAAAATGGAAGGAGATATCGGCGCTAGATCCTGGCCTGAACGGGGGAAAGGTGATATACGTAGGTTTGGTGAAGGCTATCGTGTTCCAGATGTTTCCTGTAGAGGACATCAGAAGATACACAAAAAAAATCATCATCATCAAAAAAAAACAAAAAAAACATAAACATGTCAGAAACCACAAGTCCTGTAGCTCACTATCGCCGTGACATCTTAGTGGTCCAACAGTGAACTGCGCTTCAGAGCCAGTTCTGTTGGTGTCCCCCACCACCACTCTCCTCACAGGCAGATGGTCTCTAAAATCCAGGTAGCCTTTGTCGGAGTACCTGAAAGGTTACACAGAGATGAGATACAGCCAGTAACTCGTGATCGGAACATAGCCGAGACATCAATACTGTTTTGGAAAATGTTCAATAGGAACAACAAGTTAGCATAGCATTATTATTTATTTTCTTGCCATGTGATCGCAGCAAATAAAGTAAATTAGAGCAAAGTATTTTTGATTTTTTGTGTCTTTCTTACCATTGTCTGTAGTCAGCATCACAGTTGCACTGAAACTTGGGGTCTATGCAGGTTTGGTTAATGGCACAGCCACACTTCTTGACCTCCCTGAAGGTCCCGCCCCAGTAATAGTGGCTCTCATTGTTGCGACCAATCCAGTAACCATAGGGTCGTCCATCTGCAGGGGAGAGTAATTGTGTATTTATTTATGTCGAAGGTTTCCCGTCTACTGTATTGCCCAATGGTACAACGGCGACTCACTGGGTGTATTTAGGAGGCGGGACTTGTAGCAAGAATAGTCGATCCACTGCTCGCAGTACATGGAGGTGTTGGCCAGAGCAGTGACCTCATCCCAGGAGGCGTTCCAGTAGTTGACGTCCCCAATGTAGGGGTTGTCTATTGTACTCCCCGACACCTTGGTGCCATCTACTCGGTCATGTAAAATGACTGTCCAGGCTTTATAAGCTGTAAGAAGTCATTAGATCATAATTCATGTTCACACCAAGTGATGATTTTGCAAAACTTTAAATAGTATTTCAAAATATATATATATATATTATTTCTTACATTTCATTTTGCAGTACACCTCGAAAGGCTTCAAGGGTCCACTGAGATCTGGATCAATAGTATAGTTTCCAGACCAGTACTTTCCACTCAGCCTGTAGGCCTCGCAGGACTCTTTATACACCGCTGTTTGGGAACATTGATTCCTCATTTATTGTAATTATTGAGAAAATTAGGTTCTAATTAAGCGTGGAGAGACCTGTGTTTGGACGAGGGTATTGATCGACACTTACACATGTGACACACTTCTCCTTTGTAGCCAGTGTTTTCACAAATACAGATGAAATCGTCCCACGACTGGATGCACCTACCCTCGTGTTCACATGGATTTGGAGTACATCTGCAAACAGAACAGTCGCTTGAAGCCGATCGTTCGATTCTGCTGAATTAGTTTTGTATTATCATATATTGATCTGTGTATATTGATATGTGTTATTAAAAAAAAAGTTTAAAATGTCAGGATGGTTAGGGTAAGTTTTGGTACACTAACCCTTACCCTGCAGACTCTTAAAAGTATTTTGAGTTTGTTTGATCTGTTAACCCTATAAGCTAGATCAGCGGTCCCTAACCTTTTTTGCACCAAGGACAGAAAGGAACTACCGTAATGTTCAAAGGACATACCGTGCCATCGTTGAAGGATGAATACATTTTAGATTAATCTCTACACGGACAAGTCCAAAAATATTGCAAACAAGAAGGGGTTTAGAGCCGATCCTTTTTTTTCCCCATATTCCCTTCCGTGACTTTATTGGTTACACTGACCCCACATCTCACCATTAATTTCCAGCATGCTGTAACATGCTCAGATACTTTCTTCCACTCATAACATTCCGATTGAGTACAGCATGTTCCTTCTTAGACACCAATAATATATTTGTCCTACTCTGCGTGTATTGAACAGATGCTTTGTTATGTCTGTCACTGAAATATTGAGCAAAGACATCTGCTTGGCTTAAGTTTTATTTCTGTAAATGTTCCTCTCCGCCTCTACCTCTCCTCCTGTTAACAATTATTGTAGTAAATATTCTAAACACGTTTGTCGATATTAACAACGACCTCAAAGTTCCTACCTGTCGGTGATGCCGCACGTTCCCAGCAACAGCTCAGCATAGCGCCCCCATTGTCGTTCGAGAACTATGTCAATATCAAGCTGTTCGTTGTCAATGAAGATGTGCTGCATGCAACCGTGAAAGCGATTCAGCTTGGTTTCACATTTCCTCACTGTGTTGTTGGTTTGTGGACAACCTAAATACAAGAACTAAATTGAATCACACGTTGGAAAATATATACAAACAATATATAAATAGAAAAAAATAGATACATATATATATAGAATTTATCACCATACCTCCAAAAAAGTATCGGTCCCCCGTCCTGATTGTGAAAGGGTTGGTGATCTTCAGTGGAGAGCCCTCCTCCTCATCTATGGTGAGGGTCAGTAAGTTGTCTCTGGCTGCTAAATCCACTGAATGCCAATGTCCATCATTAAGTCTGTATCCTAGAAATGAAATAGAAATATAAAGTTGTTGTACTATGTACTATAGTACGAGTACTCTGAGTAAGGGCTGTACTTGTAGCCAGTTGTCTAATGAACCTTAAGGTGCAACCAAAGTGAGAGTTTCAGTAAACACTGCAGAACTAAAGTCACATTTCTCTTTCTCATACAGTTGAAATATATACTGCAATATACTGCTCACAGTTGTGTTTATCTTCTAATTCCATCATCATTGAATCATGAGGTATCCAGATAGTCCCGCTCCTAACACTGAGTTCTAATAATTCTTCTAAGTTTCAAGAGTAACTTTGTTCTTCTACAGTAGCTGTTTTTTTATGTGCCTTTTAATTAGAACTTAATCCTTGGAACTAATTTAAAATAGATAATAGGATTTACCCTGATGGAATGGAACACTCTTTTGAACTCGTGTTTATATTCTCATATCTAAATTTGTCTGCAGTGTTCCATTAGCTTTGGGTATTTGAGGATATTCACACATAGCAAACTCCAACTGACTGTCTATGATGGAAGAAGCAATGTTGTTTGGCCACAACAGATAAGATTCAGCGAATAAACTTTCTGACCCCTAGCTTCACACATAGGGCGACAAATATTTGCATACATTTACCTGCAGCAAACTGTATTTTTTTCTTTCCGGTTTGAAATATGGTGACATTGATCTGTCCTTCACTCAGTCCCAGCTCGAGGGCACCGAGATCATCAGCAAAGCGGGTGAACATAAGCAGCCCGGTGTAGTCCCATGAGCGGAATTTGAACTTGACGAACATGCGAGGCTTTCTGAAGAAGCCTGGCACCTGCAGGTAGTTGTTGGGCCCGGCAAAAGTCATGGGTTTGAGGAGAATGTCGCGGCAGGCATAATGCATTTTTTTCTGCAAAAGAAAACGATAAGGAAAATAGATTGGCTGCAAAGTTTCCATTGGGATTGCTTTGTGTTAAAGATTAGGTGAAAATCTACCCTCTGTGGTATGTGGATGTCAGGTTCTTCCCTCTGAGCTTTGTCGATTATGTTGATGCCGTTGATGAAGACGTTCTCGAGGCAACCTCGGAAATTTGGCGTGGTAGGGAGGTGAGGCAGGTTTGGCTCTATTACTCCTCCCACATACATCTAATCGGACAGCAATAACAGTTACCATCATTAGCTCTGAATCTTCTTACAACAATTTAAGGAGCTAATAAAGTCTGTTTCTAATTTACCTTGTCGTCGAGATCCAGATGGGTGAACTCTCCCTGACAGATGCCCGTAACTGTCTGACTGTCCACCGTCAAGTTAACCTGTCTGCCGTAGCGCTTGATGGTGACATAGTGCCAGTGTAAATTATCAAGAAGGCTGCCGGCACTCAGTGTGGTTCGCCCGTTTACTTTGTGCACAACGCTGCTGCCTGGAATGGTGAGCAGGAACAAACAACACAGAAAACTGAGAGGAAATGCAGGGATTTTCTGATCAAACAAACGCTAACAACAATGTTGGATTGAATGATATTAAGCCAAATTCTGACAGAGATGGATGTCACTATGAATAGGCTGATATTTTTCTGTACCTATCCTGATGTGACCTTGGTCTGTCTTCTGTCACTGCCTTTATATATGACAAAAGTCTCTCCCAACACTAGAAATTATGGATGTCCAATAATTCGATAATTCGACTGATATTAGTGGGCTGATATTAGCATAATTATGTAAAATCTGTAAGAATCTTTATCGATTTTTCGAATGACAACCCGATAACGCAATGCCTGGGTTTCGCCAATGATTTGTGAACTAAAGACAACCCTGGGGAAAAACGGCTGTATGTGAAAGTGAAAGCCACTAGATGGCAGCATTGTAGCTAATTTTCTTAATTTATTTTGACTATCAGGGGATTGTATGCAGAATGCTGGTGCCACCAACTCATACAGTGGTTTGGACAGATAAATACATATTACATTACATATATTAATAGTATTTCAATGGGGGGCGGGAGGGTACAAGTAACCTGTGCAGTACCAAGACTCATATGCAGGTACAGACGGCCTTTCTTCAGCTCCAGGGTGAAGAGATCTCCTTGAATCCCCTCGCTGTGCAACAACAGACCGTCCTGTTCCAGAGTTTTGAAGTTAATGGCAATGTGGTCATGCAGAGTGCGGGATCGCTTTTCTGGATACATGTAGACCACCGAGTCATCCCCATTGTACTGAAGCACGTAGGAATCTGAAACAGGAAACAGGTTAGTAAATGGTGAATCAATGCAGGAGACATATAGTGGAATGAACTTTGATTTGCACTCAGGATCCCGGTGCATTGAGCAATTCAGAGGACAAGTCTAGATAATTTGGACATTTGAGGAGATACTGTAGAGATATATAGACCAAATGTTGTAGATCAAGGGTCTCAAGTGCTGCAGACCGATAGCTTTGCGGTCAGGAGAATTTTAAATAAAACATCTTTCAGACATTATTCTGTTAGTATTTAAGTCTAAAAAACATATTTTGAAAAAAATGCAGCCGAGTATCAAATGGCTCACGGACAAGTACTGGTCTACGGACCAGAGGTTGGGGACCCCTTGTGTACAGCACTTTGACCAACAGTGTTTTAAATGCTTTATTGACGAAGTTGAGAGATTTGAGTTAAGTTGAGCATTTCAAGTTTTGCTTTCTCTGAAGTACACTATCGCAGGATTTCCTCAAAACAAAAATTACGATCATCACCATCATCCCTTTTTACCATAATTCCTCAAAACAAAAATTACGATCATCATCCCTTTTTACCATAGGAGCAGCCGAACAGCTCCAGCCTCACACCAATCTTCCCTCCGTTCTCCGTGTTCCACGCCAGAGGCAGAAGTCGAATGTGTTTGGCAGTGAAGGCGTAGTGAAAGACATTTCTTTTCACTTGATAATAATTCCAGTTTCCAGGCATTGTCTGCAAATAAACGAAACGGAGCAAGCACAGAGGATAACTCTATTACTGTCGAGGGCCTGGAGCAGTGAAACAATACGGTGACGTTAAATAGAAATGTTTGAGGAGTCGATTCGACTCAAACCATTGGCTATCAGAGACACCTACAGAATTCCCTCCTCTCATTATGTACGGCGTCCAGGAATCTGGTCGGTCGCCATAGAGCAGTGAGTATTTCGTGATCCAGTCGTAAGAGTTAAATGTCCCCTGGGTGGCAATAGCTACCAGTCGGTACTTCCTGCCCAGATCAATCTGCAGCCATGGTTGCCTGTCCTTGGGTGCTGGGGACCAGCCACTGCTGCCTGGAGGTTAGAAAGAAGAATATATGTCGTTCAGGAAGAAGTGAAAAGGAAAACAATGACATCATAATAATGTGTATAAATATATAATATGTAGCACTAACTAACTTATAAAACTACTATAGGTGCCTACCATACAATTTGGCAAAATTGGCAGAGTAGAGAAAGTTATATCTGGAGGAAGCCAGGAAGGAGGAGGCGTACAGTCCTGACACCAGTGGATCCACACATTCTCCTGCGGTGAAGATTAAAAAGAGACACCAAAAGAAAGACTTCTTAATTAATGCAGCGTTCAGCGCTGACGTTATAAATGATGCCGTTTTTTGACACTGCTGAGGGGATTCAATTATGGGCTATAACTCATCCATTGAAGACATGAACATGTAAACAACGTGGTAATGTTTTTTAAGCAACTTTTAGCATGCAAGTATAAATGAACAGATATCATACTGAGTGTCAAAAATATCACATGAAAATGGATAGCGAATGGATGGTATGGATTTTTCTAGCAGTGTGTGTAAATAACATGTCTATATTATAGCAACTATAAGAACATGGACGGTGGGATTAGTTCAAGGTTCGGCAGTAATTCCAAAATCTCATTATGTATAATAAATGAATCAAAGCATGACGTAACACACGGTAACACACACATGACACAAGATGTAGTACCTGATGATGCAGTACGTAAATATTGATGAGCTTTCCACACTCTCTAGAAGTAAAACTGCAGTGTGTGCTACAATTTGCACAGTTTACTGTCTGACCATGTGCAACTGAAGCAGTTTGACCTGAGTTACAACCTGTACCTGTACCTGTACCATACATCAACATATAATATCTATCAACAGAAACTGATCATACTTCTGCCGCAGTGTAGAACAAAAGTACCAATACTGCAACTTATAATAGAATATCTGCCAATACCAATATCAATCTGATACCTTCTCCTTGTTCTTCCAGGAACTTGATTGTCTTGCTTTAGTTTTATAAATAAATAAAAAATCCAGATGTCACTTGTGACAAATCTACTCCCTTAAGGCATTGCAGTCAGGTTAGCATGTCAGCACTCAGGCAGGAACGTGCATCAGCACTTGGGTGGATGAAATTTGCCGTCAAAGGTAAATGTGACCTTGACTCCTGTCTGACATCATCTATACAGAAATGTGTTGCAGATGCTACCTCGCTATTCTTTAAAGGTAGGGGACTCAGGCTTTTAATGTTTCTGGATGACAGCAGGTTAAGCCGGGCCACAGCTTCTCAGCTGCTCGTTGGTGTCTCTCAGTCTGTGGCCACGATTACACAGCATTTACTCCTTTTCACTTACTGTGGCTTCTTTTTGAAATGAAATTTACAAATTACCTCATACTCTCCCTCCTTATCATCATCTTCTGGGAGATCTCATCACGGTGCAACTCTATCCTGACGTGCATTTTCTGCCTCTCCCCTCTCTGCAGCACACAGAGAAATCTTCCTGTCCATGTATCATTAAAGGGCTATGGGAAATCGTGTGGCTGCGTGCAGCAAATGCAGTACTTGTGCTGAATCATCGGTCTGATGCAGTAAGTGTAGGCTGCAGCTCAGTCTGGGCTGAAACATCAGTGCTGCGTGTAGGCAGCGTGGCATCTACTTGAATTTTGGCAGTGGATTTAAACTGCAGTGCTGCATGTCATTGTTGAGCTAACACAGGTGTCCACCAGTAGTGTATAAAAATAGATACAACCACATGGATTGCACTGCAGTGGTTTTTCTGCTCTCTTTTTGTAGTATGACTTGGCAGATACAGTATTTTCATGCAGAATGCAACTCACAGACTGTGCGCCACCTTGTTCACTTTTTTTTTGACCGTGTGCACACCCCAGCAAACAGCTATAAATAAACCGTGAACAAATAAAAGACAACATTGTCAGCCTCCTCACATCTTTGTCTGAGAAAGGAATTCAATAACAGGTCTCAAATAACAAAAGTAGGTTCAATAATACTGAGGGTAAATTTCAGGAAGTACTTCAAAGCTAACTACAAATTAGCCCAAAAACAAAAACGTATCTTGCCGTACCTTATATTGTTACTCGTTTTAAATGTACTTAAATCAAACATGCTATTTAACTGCTAAAACTTAAACAATAATGTAGCTGAGTAAAAATTACTTATTCAACAAAGGGCTTAAAAATGATTCCCCAAAAGTTTAGCTTAAATGAAGATTTTAGCTAATATTCTTTAAAAGTAATATATAAATATATATAATTCGTTTTTTGGGATGACGGGGTGAAGATGGTCACATTTCTACCTTTGTGTGGTCAAGGTTAGCAGTAACCAGAGAGTGACTGAGTTCATGTCTATAGTCAGTGTTCTGTGCAGACCCTGAAATAAACCTGAATGGGAGTCTTGTACATATATAATGTATCTTATTATTAACAGTAATCATACATTATCTACTTTGATGCTTGCCCAGGATGGTATGAATAATTTAACATCATCCATCTAATAGGGTAAGGCTCAGGAATCCACACCCAGAGAAAAACAACAGCACTTGTGAAAATACTGAATCTAGAAACCTTATATATTCTTTTTCAGTATTTGACATTACCAATCTACATTTCTTGTTTTTTTTTTTTGTTTCCCTTGAGTTAGTCTAGTCTATTTTGTATTAAGAAGTACAGTATAAAATATAAATGTCTCTTTGGGCCAAATACATCATCTTATTGTAGGGAGAAAAATAAATGTCAATTTTAAATATTCTCATGTTGAACTGTGCATTGATGCCTCAAAATATCAATGTTCGTAATTATATATTCCTGTGTATACCTAAAATAGTATCTAAATGCTGTATTGTTAGTATACTATTGTATTACATACATGTAACTACATGTATTTCAACGACATTTCTTCTGTTCAAAAATGGTAGCTGGGAGCCATGAAAGAAATCACTAGTTAGAAAACCTGTCCTTCTATGTTAAACTGTTTTTTCTAAACTTGGTTTAATCCTGAGTTGTGTGTAGTGAACAACACAACTTGGTATATTTGAATAACAGATTAGATAATGATTAGCCTAAAGTTTGGGGGTTAGCACTTGTTTGGGTAAAAACAAATAGTTACAATAAACTGAGAACAAACTAAAGGGCATATTTTTGTTTTGTTGTCAGCTTAAGTTAACAAAAAAATTGATAGATAGATAGTACTGGCTCAAATATTTCTATTTATCCTTTAAAAGATAGCTTTAACTTAGCCCCAGTAATGCTAAAAATAACCACACGCTTTGATAAACAAATTGTTGAAAAGAAATACCCCGTTAGTCCATAGACTAGCAATAGAAACTACAGTTATAACAAAAAATATTTGCAAAAAAAAAAAAACGTAAAGCTGAGAATTAAAAAAAGAAAAAAAAAATAGCCAAGAGATAACTTGGTGCAAATGTATGTGCTGGAAATAGAGGCAGGAAGCGAACACCAAGTTAAAGCAGAAGAAAATGACTGACTGACTGACTGACTGACTGACTGACTGAATGAATGAATGAATGAATGAATGAATGTATCATTAGAATTTGCTCCCCAGAATATTTATGCGCTCCACTGTCATGATGACATCACTTCCCCTCAGTCAACCTGAATCAACCTTAGAAGGTTGTTTTACTGATGAGTGGATATTGATTTTCAGGTTCAGGTTTTTTCGTCACTTTTGTGAAGCACATGTGTCTGTACATCAAGGACACGCACACAAACCCACTGTATTTGATATTTGGTGATTACTTCACAGATTTGCACGGACATCCTGTAATGCAACACTCTAATCTGACCCTTATTCTAATCCTAACTCCTCAAAACAACCTCTCCCTCAGTAGCGACCTACAAAATGTCCCCTTAAAGGACACGGTTTACCCAAAACAATGTTATTTCCCCCCCAAAAATATGTCCTTACAAACATATGTCTCCATACGCATATACACACACATGCATAAATGAGGATTCCCATCCCCAAAAAAGTACTGCAGTGGGCTGGTCCCGGTCAGGACGCTGCGCCCTGCCTCAGCTCTGTGGTCACTTTCGAAATGACATTAACATGCAGCATCACTGCGACATTGAGATGAAGGCTCGAGAAACAGCTGAAAAGCTTTTTCGGGCGGTAAACGCCGCGCTGTGCTGTGAAAGACGCTGAGTTGAATCTGCAGAAACTTGCGTGCAATGCTGAGAGGAAGTACTGCAATGCAGTGTGCACCTTGTGCGGGACCGACGCAGTTCGCTCCCCTGCACTTTTTGTGTCATCACCTATGACAATGCATTACATCGAACCTGCTTCACACACAAAGCAACCGATGGCGTTCAATGACCGCTGTAATGACACTATGACTTATTTTAAGGCTAAACGCTGTGCCCTTCAGAGAGTCCGGTAGAGGACGCATCCCTGCTCTCCAAAGGCATTCACTGTTTCAACCCGCAACTTTTCTCTCCCAAACATCACACCCTGGATCATCTGAAGAAAATACATTTGTAACACAACATTGCCGCAGTTTCTCCACACACGATATCCAAGCAGCTGACATCACACACAGACAGACTGTTTCACGGGACTTACGTGATGAGCAGTGCTGAAAAGCCAAAATCAAGAGGCATGTGCTCAGTATTTTGCGAGTCATCCTTTTTTTTGTTTCTTTTTTAACTCAGGACGCGTTCTCTCCGCACGGGTTCTATGTTAACGAGAGCTTAGATGGTTCTGCAGCATCCTAAATCACACTCCTTCGGCCCAACTTTATCTCGCACCGCTCCAACTCCTCTTCCCGGGATGTCGGGCAGACTAAACCGGCTCGGGGGCGCGCATCAGATGCTGCTGGTGGTGCTGATGCTGCGCCGAGAACGCGCAATTCTCCGATTATAGTCTTTTAAACTCTTTTATCACATGCTCGTCATTCACCAGTGGCGCTCATGCGTGATGTCATTCAGGATGCCGTTCTTCCAGGTCAACAGCTGAAAAAAATATTTTGTTGGTTCTTCAGGATTCTGGAATATAGATGGAGAGAAGGTTATGGGGGGAACTTTTAACCTCCTTTGCTGGGAAGATTCAAGGATTAGAGGGCTTGGTTTTGTATTTCAAGGAAAAGTTCCTCGTCTGTTTTGTTGGTCGACAGCAATGCACAAGATATTTCACACAGTCCTCCTCCCCCTCCTGTTCTGGTATCTCCTTTCCTTCCTCGGTGCAGGTAGTATTCAGCTTCCAAATGCAGGCTGAAATGCAGCTTCAGTGAAATGGGGTGAGTTTTTATCTTTCTTCCTGAAACGTAGACCAAATCTCCCCATATAAATAAGAGAGTGACTCCTTTTATCCTCTGGACAGCTGTGAACCTCTTGAACCTCCTGGTGAAAACCACCCAAATTGCACTTAATTTAAGTAGAGAGAGAATTGCGCTCCTGAATCACAGATCGGTTCTAAATGGATCCTGAACAGGAAATGAATCAGCGAGGCATTGTTTTATCACCAAGCAGAAACACAGATTAGAGTTGTCACTCCATATAAGAAGGTTGTGCTGCCCCTACCATACCCCTCCTACCTCACTCATGAAAATATGAGCTTGTTATTGGATGATGATGCCTACGGTCAAGCACACAAACATCTCTGAATCGTATTCTATCTATTTAACTCTAAACCCCAGCAGGCCATTGGTCGATTAAACCCAAACTTTTGGCCATTATCAAGGAATTTCCATTTCTTCGTTAACATAGATCTATACTGGAAGAACCAGATTACAGCTCTATAATCTTGGCTGTTTGAACTTGACCTTAAGGCCCAGTGCAGTGCTCTCACAACAACATCTGCGTTCACATCCATGATGATGAAGATCCAAATGTATGTCGATTAAAACCAGGCTTTCAACTGATGTTTTCCTCTCAGGCTAGAAGGCTGAAACTGTTGTCACTGATTCTAGAGTCCATGTTGACCTGTCCTGTGATGGTTTGAACCCACTTGTGGCTACATTTCTGATTTTCCCAAAAGTATCATGCACATAACTTGGCCAATATACTGTAGCTCCAAGCTCAGGAACCATCTTATATTACAGGTCCAATGCAGGTTCTACATATTCAAGGCCCTGAGTTATAACATGCCTTTTACACATCTAATCGATCCATGCCCCTTCAAAGTAGAATCTGGCAGTAACATTACAATAAATCCATAGTTTTTGGGGCCCTATCACTCAGAGGCCTAAGCCGCCCCGGTGCCCTCCTTAACCTCCTTTCAAAATATGCATCTTCATCCAAACCTGAGCTTCTGAAATTAGGTTCCACATTATAAGGCAGACTCTCACAAAGACAGGCCCAAATCTTCACTGATCCTAAAAGATTACTACCAAAGATGCAATTAGTTCTTAAATAGGCAAAAAAGAGAAAGAAAGTTTAAAGTTGTAAGCTAGAGGTTGGATGGTGAGTGAAAATGTGGGTCTGTAGCAATGTGTGGCCCACTGACTGACTATTTAATAAAAGGCTTTTGGATTAAGAAGTGGGTTTATGGGTCATCAGTGTGTCACTGATGTGAGTGAATGCCAGTCTGAGCCAGTGTGGGGTTTAACGTGTATTCAGTTAAATCAGATTGTCTGTTTGCATAAGCCTACTGCCACTGCTTTAATTCTCCGGTGGATTCAGTGTGGAATTAAAGCTGCAGAGTGAAGCAGTGTGACGGGTAAACACAATTACACTGGAAATGGAAGTGGGACATGAAATCAGCGGAGGAAACTGGAGGCTCTTCCACAACACAGACGCTTCATGTAATGGTTGACTTAGCAGTGAAGGGTTCGAATATATTAAGTTATAATATTTTTATATTATAATTGCACATATAAGTTATAATGTAATGATTCATAATGATGTACAGCGTACTTAGTTTTATAGCATATATTCATCTACTCTCTATTATCAATGTCTTCTAAGAATGAGTCTAAATCCATATGTATATATGTACATGATTTACTGTACATATATACATAGCTCATTATTATACATTTTGTGTTGCTTTATATATATTTACGTATATATAAAGCAACAAAAATGTATTTATTAAAAGTCTATTTCCAAAGCTTAAGTTCCAGTAACATCAACTTACCACTAGATGTCAGACTCGGATCTGAATTGACAGCGTAAAACCAACGAACAACAGACTCTTAACAGTGTATTAAATTAAATAAGTGTATTCAATTAAATAAATTAAAAACTGGATTCAACAAAAATGCTTGTCTTGAAATATAAATTTATGTCAGTGAAAGGTGAAACATTAGCACTGTAGTGTGTTTTAATATACAATCCTTTGTTAAACACACAACGTACACACAGACATCGGTAAGATTTCCAGTTCCTTGTCTCCTTCAAAGGCCTTTAAAAAACAACGCACACATGCACGAACACAACAGGTGGAGACTGGTGGTGGCCTAGTTTCTCACAGAGATCTTTCTTGTATCAGATTGTACTTTGCTCTGCCCACATTTGCATTGTGTGTATTTTCCATAGGGGCACTGTACGCTGCATTGGCCTCAGCGAGTAAAAGTCAGGGCACGTCGAACGAAGATAAATAATTAGCTTCTGTCCAGAGTAAGTGTTCTTGAAATATCACATTTGTCCCTTATCACATTTTGTAGTTTTTAGGACCCCACAACAAAAATGTCGAGCAAAACATTTGTACCATATTTAACAACCGTTTCTATTAATACTGTGCTGTGATATGACAAACGAATATGTTGTTTTGTTGTAATGTAGTTAGCATTTTAGCTTTAAGGGTAACGACAAAACAAACTTTCTGACGACTAATAGCTCAAAGTTAGCTGTAGAATTTCAAATAGTAAGCTAACATTGATGAAGGTCGGCAAAGTAAGAAAAACATTTATTTAGAAATGAATTATTCTACTTAATATTAGCCAAAAGCTAAAGTGACTAAATCTTAAATAGCTTCAATAAAAGCAACAATAAAAACAATAAAAAAACAATTATTAGACTTATTTTATTGAAATGATTTTTTTACAGTTATAAAAAAAACAAAAACATAACACTTAGGCACTAAATGCAGAAGGACACGTTCACAAACACTCGTGACTCCAGCTCAGATGTGTGCATGTGACACTTTTGCTGATCTGTCATAATGGGTGAGTGACATGAAGATTAATGAAAGTTTTATTTATGCACATCTGATGTGTCCAACCCAAAATAGAGGTCAATTTTGCTGATGGTGTTTGGTTTGTTTAAAGTGTCAGAAACGGGAGCGTTCAGCCAGGTGGACTGGATAACAGGTGTTAGTATTAGCCGTCACCTGTGGGAACCCAGTGTGGCTGCATTCTGAGAGGTGCGAGCTGCTGTAAACAGAGCCATTAAAATGCTTTCTCAGGTCTCTATTCTTTGGACCTCCTGCTGTTGAGAGCCAGCAGGGGGCACACAGACGGGTGGACCACCTCTGAGGATTCAACCCAGTAAGAGCTAGCTCCACTTGTGGGTCCTAAACAGTTGCTACATATTATTACACACATATTTGTCTAGAGTAAACACTGAGGTAAATATAAAAAAAAAAAAACATATTTATTTTACTTTTTATTAGCTGGATCTGCAAATTAATTAATACTAAATACTATTATAGTGTACTATTACACTGTACAAAACTTCCCCAGCAACACTACTTTAAAAGCTAGTGGGTTATCCAAACACTGCACATATAGCTAAGCTAACAACTCCAAATTAGCTGTTAGTTAGCCACTAAGCTAAATTCTTGTAAAAGTAGCTATCATTATGTTACTAAAATCTGCAAAATGATGATTTAGGTTAGCTAGCTATAAGCTGTGATTCCAAAAATATTCTTGCAGATTAGCCTTGTTAGTTCATGCAGACCACACCAGTTTCTTGTTGTCATTATATACATCATGGACCACTCTAAAGTACTTCTCTGCCTCTCCTCATTTACACATACTGTAAGTCTAAAGTTCTTCTCTTGGCACCTTTATCATAGCAGATGCTGGTTTGGCAGAACCCATCGAGGCCCAGTGTCGTATGTTCATCAAGGTGCAGATCTCCACATTCTTCTCTGTGACAAAGTCGTCCACACACACAGACAGGTAAGAAACCCATGTTCCGTCGGATACATTTTCAAAGTGAGTCCATTCTCAGAGGGGACACGGGAGCTAATGTGTGCATAATGAGAGTAACACAAAGACAGCAGCACTGCCACCTGCATTAGGTTGAAATACTAACAACAGCTGCGAGCGGGCGGAGAAACATGGAGCTGAGACACTTTTGTTTCTCGTGTTTGCTGCCAACACGAACACATGCACGCACACCCAGGGAGAGAGAGAGGTTCACACAGTCAGTGGCAACACACATAAACACACACAGACACACACAGGAGTGGTTTGTGTTTCACTCACACAGCAGACAACCCACAGTTATTTAGTCTGCCTCCCAGTTTGTTTGCCCACTGTCTTCTCTCCTTTGTTGCTCTGCCTTAGGCTTTGTTTGACACTAACTGTAGCAGATGACAGTTGCAGCTGGGCGGAGGATGACAACGATAATGATGATGATGATGATGATGGTGGTGGTGATGGTAGTGGAGGAGGATTAAAAGAATTGGGTCAGAGCACAAAGGTTGTATCAACTACAGCGGTTTTGTTTATGTGCCCAGAAAGGGAAAACCACTCAGCTGTGGACAGAGAAGAAGCATTCTCTCACGTCTGTGAGGTGTAAGAGCAGATGTACGTTCTGGGGAGATGTGCCGACACCATCGCACGTTCAGACATACTTACTCTAGATATTCAGTTAGAATTGCAACCTGGGCTGACAACATGACCGCTAACCACAATTACAACTGTAATGTAGCTGATTACAACAGCAGTCGTTGTCTGGCACGTACAGTATTAGACAAAAGACTCAAGTCAAAATACACTGAAGTTGTGTGCGCTACAAAAACCAGAGACATAAAGATATAAGAATGACATTGAAATTTTGATCTAGGCGATCAAAGAACATTTTGCCTTAACATTCAGTATATTTATGAATCTAGTGGCTACACTGCTGGTGCTGTTAAATAATCAGAAACAAGATGAAGACCGCTGTACATGTCTGTGCGTGTGTGCGCGTGATAAGAGCAGGACAGGGGGTTAATAAATAAAATGCAGCCCTCCACCTCCTTGTCCTCCTCTTCACTCCTGCAGAGTTCATCCTATGTGTCCACCAATGTTGCCCCTGGAGGTCAGGGCACCTAGCAACTGCCTGGATCGGGTCCTGATAGAAACATGAGATAAGACATACACTGAGTCCAATCCTAAACTAAATCTTGAGCCTCAAAATACTATCATACTCATTGGGGTGAAAAATGTCCATACAAATAGTATTTTTAAAAAGTCCCAGTAAGACCATAGACACTTATTGTCCACCTTATCATTCCGACCCATGATGTAAACTTTAAAGGTCCAAAGGTCCATTGTATGCTTAACATACTCGTGGTTATATCGCCATCTCCCATAAATTTTGTCTTGTGCCATCATTCAGACATATGTCGTCACACGGCATTGTACGCGGAAGACCGCTTTGTTTATTTGTGGGGTTTTACGCCATACGTTGTAATGTGCTACATTAGCTTTCTTTCGTTTGTGTTGTTTTTTTGGAAACTTTTTGTCC